TGTGCCCTCGGCTTCCCCCGGCGGTGCGAGCGAGCTGGCGTGCGGGTTGCCCCGGGGAGCCCCGTGGCACCGGACGCCTGGCTTTTGGGGCTCCTGGGATCATTCACAAATGGGTAAACTTTAACTGGAATTGGACTCTTTCCTTGTTTCCGCATGCCCTGTCGCAGCTGCCCTGCAAGCGCAGGGCGCTGCCGGGGCTGCCAGGGAGCAGCCAGGCCCCAGGCTCGGCCATCCCTCCGTGCCATCTTCCCCATCCTGTAGTTCTGTGACAGGCAGTTGGCCGGAGGTTGATCGTCACTTTGCATTTAATCCTCCGTAGAAGTAATTGTGGCTGTTACACCAAATCCTAAAGCTCCTCAGCAGCCCTTCTTGTGCTGTGCTCTGCTGAGAAAATCTCTGTTCTCGAGGGTCTCAAGCCTGGCACAGACAAAGACGTGGCAGCCGTGTCTCGGCAGCGCCAAGAGCACAGCAGGCAGGGAGCTGGGAATGAAGGGAGAAGCTATGGTGGAAAAATTGTCGTTTGTTTCCTGTTAATGGTGTATTGAAAATCAGAAGGCTCTGCTGGCAGGTGGACTGCTGCAGTTCACTGCTGCTGGCTTTCTCTGGAAATGCCCATATTTAAACTCTAAACTAAATTTTGAGAACTTTGCAGTGCAGGGTTCACTTCTTGCAATTCTTAAAATGGAGTGTTTTTATAGTATTTCACCCTTAAAAGCCCCAGTCTTTTAATAAACAGGTCTTGTCATTCATAGGCCTTTCAGAAATATCAGGGATCGGTGAGCATCTAACTGACTTGCTTTTTCTCAGGCTGTTCTACCGTAATCTTAATCGTTAGTGAAGTTTATTTGTGCACTAAGATTTAAGCCTTTAACTGGTCTTATTTTGTGTGTGAATTATGTATACATTAAGTTTGTTACTCATTATTATGTTAATTATTAAAATTACCCTATGTATTCTATTGAGTGCTTTGTTTACTTTTTTAGTGTTCGTGTGACTACAGATACTGGAGTATTTGTTTAGTCAGCTAAATTTGAGCTTTTTTTTAATGAATGGGAACCTTTGTGTGCTTTTCTAAAAAAAAAAAAAAAAGGATGCATATTTTTGCTGCTTTAACCGGCTTGCAATGTCTGAAAATTGGTTTTAGTTGAGACAAACTGTAGCCAAGACAAACTCATTCTGGCCAAATTGCATCTGCTTGACCAGACAGTGAGATTTCACAGTTGAAATCCATGTGCCCTGTGTGCACTGCATAGTCAAATTTGGCAAGGTGACAGGAGATGGTAAAAGCAAAGGTGGCACGACTCCACTAAACTTTGCTGAATTTGATACTGCTCACTGTTGATGTTCTTTGAGCCTAAGCCAGCGTACAAACCCTGGTCTCTGTGGTGGTTGGCTGTGCCAGACGGTTTTACCTTTTTCCTGGCATGGGCACTAGTGCTTTGTGTGGGCTCTGTAACGTTTCTTTTGCCATGAACAATTTTTACACTTTATGTTGTGAAATATAATGGATAAAAAGATAGCATTGTTTACCTCCCAGACTTGACTGGGAGGTGTCACTCAAGGTAGACTGTGCAAAACTGATTCCTGTCCTCTGTGTTGCTCAGTAGAGCATATCATTAACTGCAGTAACATTTGACACCTCATGAGAGTGTTTGGATAAGCTCATACCTCTCTGGCTATGAGAGGTATGTTCTAGGTTTGGGCAATTTTTGCTGTGTTAATCATATGTTTTTTGGCTTGCACTCTTTGAAGCTGCTTTCCTCCCGAGGAGCTCAGGGTTGGGTTTTGGTTTTTGGGTTGGGGTGGGTTTTTTTTTGTTGTTTTTGGGTTTTTTTAGCACCAGAGTTCACACTGTGAAGCACAGGGTGGAGGCTCGCGTTAGTTATGACTACTCCATCCTGCCACATTTCATATGAAAGTCCTCTTGGACTGAGAGTTTGCATTACTAAAGTTCTCTGAGTGCTTACCACAGAAAACACTGTTATGTTTTCACTTAGTAGAAATAGTAACAACAGCAAGGATGATGCATTAAAGCAGTGTAATTTGCATTAGTACAGTTAGCTGTCAGCCCTGGTCTTTGCAGCGTGTTGTGGACACCAGCTTGATGTACCTGGCATCTCTGTGATGTACTGATTTTTGTGTGGGTCTGTTTTAGGAGAATGTGTTTATTGGTCAATCCAAAATCTACAGCTACCTGAATCCTAACAAAACTCCTGGTGCTCGCCCACCGCTTCAAGAAGAAAACTCTGTCATGTATCACGAGGTGAAATGTCAGGGCAAAACACTAAACGAAACCTACAGGAAAGGAGATGGTAAGATTGATCTTTGCATTGCTTGCCTCATTAAATGTCCTCCCCCCACCCCCAATTTGAGAACTTTAAGACACAGTCAAGAAGGCCAGGCACATCCCTTGGCCTAGTGGCTTTCCCAGTGCTACAACTCTCTTGGCAAACTGGGACTCTAAAAAGATGAGGGTGTCCTTATCCTTTTCAAAACTTAGGTCACAGGTTTGCCAGGCTATTTTTCTTCTGTTTTTTGTGTGTCTGTTTGTATTGTCTCTCTGGATATAAAAAGCTAATGCTTGCGTTTTCAATATGCCTGAATCTCCCTGCAATTCTATTACTACCCTCCTTCTTCAGGTCAGTGTTTAGCAGTTCATCTAAATTTTTTTGGGGGGTCTGTTTTATTACCTAAAACTGGTTTATTCTATAATTTCACTACTTTATACTAATTTATATAAAGGCAATTCAAAGTCAAATCAAGTATGAGGTAGAGGTACTAGTAGATGAAGAACTAAATTTTCAGGATGAATTAAAGGTAGTGAAAAAGAGGAGCACAGATTGTGGGTGCTGAGTGCCAGGCTTCATAGATGCTTCATTGTAGTGAGTAGAAATGGGAATGTTCCATAAGTTTATGGAGGAGGAAAAAAAAAAAAAGCTGGCTTATGTTTAAAGGTGCATTTAATAGCCTTGGTAATTTGTCAAAACATTTTGATGCAAGCAGGTATTTTACGTCCCACTCAACAAAGGGAGTGTCAGGTTTTCTGGAAACTTATGGCCTTTAGCTCCTAATTTAGCTCTCCAATTTTGACAAAGTGAAGATGGCTTTAGCTTATCCCACTGCTTTAGCCTTGTAGCTGTGCTTCATTTCTCCAGCACACTGAAGTATCTATCTTAGCAGATGGGACACTTAAACCTGGTGATTTGCTTTAAATAAAAACTTTATTCAGCTTTAAGCCATGCTTACCTACCTCTAAATCAGTTCTCTGAGAAGGAGGATGTGGTCATATCAAGGTAGGATGCGTGCAACCAAGAAAATGTTGGTTGGGGGGTGGGGGGTAGATTTCTTGTAAGTCCCAGCCCCTTAGCTCCTGTGTATTTTGTCTGAGTGGTGTTGGCCACTTGGTACCAGCGTCCGCAGCTACTGATCACAGCAGTGCAGGATCCAGAGAGGCTTCCTTTCCTTCTTCAGTGCAGGATGTTGATTAGCTTATGACGGCTTGATAATTTAGTATGCCAGATGCAATCTGTGCAGTTGTTTCAAACATTGCACTGAAGGTGCTGCATGTTCAGGTGTCCTGGCTTCAGCTGTGGTAGAGTTAATTTTCTTTCTAGTAGCTGTTGTGTTGTGGTTTTGGTGTGACAATGATGCTGATAACGCATATTGTTTTAGTTGTTGACAGGTGATGTTTGGGGACTTTTTCAGCTTCCCATAGAAGCTGAGAGGGAGCATAGACAGGACAAGCTGGCCACAGGAATATTCCATACCATAGACATTATGCTTAGTATATAAATAGGGGTTGGCTGGGGGGCACGGAGCTGCAATCACTGCTCAGGATGGGCTGGGCAACTGATCACCAGGTGGTGAGAGCGACTTGTGTTGTATCACTTTATTTTGTATATTCTTTTACCATTATTATTTTCCTTTTCCGTCATTGTTCTATTAAACTGTCTTTATCTCGACCCATGAGTCGTGGTGTTTTTTTTCCTTTCCCCTCCTTTTCTCCCTCTTTTCCCTGCCCTTCTGGGGGAGGGGTGTGTGTGAGCAAGCAGCTGTGTAGTCCTAGTTGCTGGCTGGGGTTAAACCACGACATCAGGTTTGAAAAAAGAGTCACAAGCTTAAAATGACAAAGTACTTGGGCTCTGTTTTACCCTTTCTCTGCTCATCTCTCCCTTTGTATTATGTGTACTGTGGCAATGACTAGTGAAAAGTTGAGTAACAGCTTATCTCTGGGTTCTAGCAGAAAGAGGTTTTATCATTCCCTTCCTCTTTCTCCTGTTTGACAGAACTAGAAACTTGGACTAGAAACCATTGGAATTCATTTAAAGCCCTCTGGTATAGATGATCCTAAGTTCAGAGCCTTACTTTATTTTCCTGTCACCAGAAAAAAAGAATGGTGGCAATATAATTGAAGGTGCTATGAAACCAGAAGACCAGAAAGACAAAGAAAGTGGGTGCAATGCTTCGGTGCCCTCCTCTGATCAAAACCAAGAAACTGTAGAAACCCAAAAGGCGCCCCTGCCTTCAGACTGTGCTGATGAGGCCAACGCAAAGCCAGCTCAGAAAAAGATGGTTAAAGCAAAACGTGGACCAAGGAGAAAGTAAGTGACTTCTGGAATTGTAAAAGCTTGTCTTCTGTGTGTTCTTTTGCACCAGAAGACTTTGATCTGCATTTTTCCTTCAGGAACTACAGTCAGACCCATAATTAATGTTACGCTTGTTTTGTTGCCTTTTTTTAAGCAAATGGTTATGTTGGGGGGAACAAATCTTAAAGGAGTCGTCTTTGTTTTCTCAAGAATAATATGTTTGAAAATATAAAATAGCACCCAAAGTATTTATCTACCTTGCAGAGGACTTTTGTTTTCCTTGAAAGCAAGGCTAGTGTATTTATCTCTAGTGAAATACTGCTGATCACCTACAGAAAAAGGAATTAATGAGCCGTTAAGACCTACTTTTCTGTGGACAAATGAGAATGTATCTTGTCAGAAATGGAATATTAGATTAATTACAGTTAGAGGCTTCCTGGCTGAGCTGATAATCTTTCTCCTGATATCGGAGTAATGTGACCTCACATTAATGAATTCCTTGCCAAGCAGTTTTCATGACCTAAATTTTAGCGTGCCTTCTGGCAAGGCACACAGGGGGCTTCAGCCTTGTAATGTGACCTTCAGTTGGTTACCAATGGCATCTCACTCCTGTTGTTAAAGACTTAGTACTAGAGTAATGGAAATAGCGTGGGGA